GGGAATGTCGCACAGTTGTTCACTTTGTAGGAATCCAATTTGATTGTCTTGCAATTCAAACGAGTTTCCGTAGTTGTTAATTTGGCCATCGTCAAAATTAATCAAAGGATGCATAAAAGCTTGTGGTTGTTCGATACTTGAGAATAAATTAGAGACAACTTGATCAGGATGCACCTGAGTTATCGACTCTTGCCTATTCTTTCGTTGATATAAGGAAACACCAGTTACAGAGTACGGATGATACCTATGAGAGGGCTTTGTGATATGATAGTCTACCATTTTGTTTGCAGAGTTTGAAGATTTCAAATGATGAGATTAAAATAAGATATGGCAAAAAATCGGTCGAGACTTTGAATATTTTCTGGGGATAACTTCTTTTATAGAGTTTTAACACTGATTGAGTAAGTATATAAATATAATATATCTCAATAAGAAATATCAATCTAATATTTTATGATATTATCAATATCGTAAAAAATAATGACGAGTATTGTAACACAACAATACAATTATTTTCTTAACTCATCAAAAATATTTCTCGGGTTCGATTTTTTTCCAATGCTCATTCTCCTCATATGCAATCTTGAGTGCATTATTATGTTCGCGAGCATTATACAAAATTCCGTGTGCGTTATAACAATTTGTGTGTGCATGCAATAATACACGACTTTCTATTTCTACAATAATTGATTAAATGTTAAAATTAGAAATGTATTGTAACAAAAACGATTTATCACACAATGGTATTGTGTAAATTTAGAAATTATACAATGCATTTTAATTATCATCGGATTATTATATAACTGGATGAGTTAAAGATCTGCATGGTCTGTACAGATCATCTAATTTTATTGTTTAACGTGTTGTATATATTAATGTATTGTTGAGAGGATTTCTTTTTAGCACGGGCTTAAAATACTATAGTAATTTGCCGGCTTGCAGCCTATTGTTTGAAGTGTTTTTCTTGATTTACCAAAATTATCGTATTGTTCTAATATACTGTAAATTAAGAATGACACTTTTGAATGGCCGGCATTTCAATATAGTCGTTTAATCCCTGCTTCCGGATTAATCAAAGCGAATGGCTATCCATGTATTATTAAGATCTAGCTTCAGACAAGAAAATCTATGATTGACGATAGTCATAGAGAATCGCAACTTCACTAGTTGTTCAATGTAGTGCATACAGTTACAATTATTATATTATGCTGAATTATACTACATCAAGATTTGTGGATGTCCTAATAGCGTATTAATCCTTATTAGAGTGTCCGACTTACTGATTTCATGTAAGTAATATACAACATATAAATATAAACAAATATTAGGCGGTAGTATTGTAGTTAATAGTTAAAAAATACAGTTATAATTCGGAATTATACAATACGTTGAAAATAAATTCTCCGCTTGAATCAATTTTTGTTTCAGATTAGTCAACAGGAAAATATCTAGTCTATTGTCGCGTATGGTTTCTATAATTTCCAATTCTATTTCTCTTTTTTTTTTTTATTGTCGCCTCAGCCAGGGTAGAAACTATAGAAATCCTGCACAAATTTTTTGTTTCTTGATAAATTTGATTTTGCGTATCTTTATTAAACAATGAATAAAACAATGCAGTAACTATACGAAAATTGATCAAGCTTCATTATTCTCATTCTTAAAAATCCAAATGGGGCATCAAACAATATTGATCTGATATATTGTTCTTTTAAACCCATCAGGTTATCTCCTAATGTTTCATATGAAAAAGAATTGTTGGCTACCTATATTTATATAATATTGGCTTTGTCATTTAAGGTAATTTATTTGTGTTTCTATAAAATTCAATATCGAACCAAAATTTCAAAGAAATGTAGTATTTCGAATAGAAAGAAATTGACAATGAGCAAATTTTTAGACAATACAAACATAATACTATATGGCATTATTTTCAAGGCCCCTATTCTTATACAATACACTATTGGTTACTATAGAATTCATGTCATGTGCAAGAATTATGGATAAACGACAAATCCAAAGTTTTAAAAGAACAATGCATAGCATTAAAAACATCTCAAAAAACTCGATTTAGAAGCTGATGACCTTAATATAGGGATGTTTATTGGTGCGTCTGGTCTGGTCCCGGTCCAGTCCCTAAAAAGTTCGGTCTAGGACTAGTTTCGATCTTTATCTTATATGACCGGAAAAAATTTTAAGTTCGTTTACTTTAGGGTTAGGGCGATACCTGGGATTTTAGTAAGGAATTATATAAATGCAAAATTTAGCAAGGATTCTTTTTTGTTAGAGCATAAAAAGCTGGGGTATTTCACATACTAATTAATCAAAATTATGTAAGGGCATACACTAGTGTAAGATTTCATGCATAAAATTGATCGGCAAAATTGATACGTCTTTACTAGTAAATTACTATCAAAAGAAGCTTTATTCAATTCAATGTAACAAGAATAATTTCAAAAAAGGTTTTGCATATCAGAATTTTTAGAATTTCTTTATATTGTAGTTTTAAATCCAATTTCTTTGATTCAAAATGTCTAGACTATCAAAACATAAAGTGCATTTAAATCATTAGCTGAAAAGTATAAAATAAATTTGTACAAAAAACTTATTTATGAAATAATAAATCACTTAAAAAAAATTGCTATTTACAAATTTAAAATAATATATAATAAGATTTTTAATAACTTGAATATTAATACACCCTTATATAATACAATCATTTATACTCTTAATGTTATGCCAAAAGTAGATTTTAATTCAACATCTCATTTTTTACATACTATAAAGTATTTATATAAAAAGAATAAAAACTGAATTGTTTTTTCTTATATTCAAAAAAAGGCATCTAATTATGTATCTAAATCTTTTTTTTTTTTTTTTTAATATTAAGATAACCACTTGGGGGTTTGGCATGTTTATTAACTTTGGTTACGAATGTCAGGGCAGCCACAAAGTCACTCCTGACTTTGTTACATTAACAAAAGTACATTTTAGCCATATTTGTGCCTTTTAGGCGCCTAATTAAGTAGAGTTTGCATATTACTATATCCTATACTAGATGCTATATCTGCAGCCCACTATTACTTGAGCTACGCAATTAAACCCTCTGATCAACTTAACGCTATTGGGATATTCTCCCCAAAAAGGAACTGCTGCTAAAGCCCTTTAGGACTACTTTATTCTCATGGTAAACCTACTAAAGTGGTCTATGTTCTACATATATATTACCTAGATTTTTGGTAACTTACGTCTAGGCCAAGACCAAGTACTTGCAAGCCAAAGTCATTACCATTACCTACTCTATGCTCTTGCAAATTTCACCCAAATCCCAGTATCCACTATACAGACTATCACCGGTATCTAAGTTTTATCAGTAATCTAAACTCTCAATTCAGATAGCCTAAAAGGGCTGTGACCTGCTCTAGTCCTCACAGTTGTGTTCTTTTTCTTCAGTACTCTTCTGGCAGCCTGGTTGGTATAGTGTTTTGTTAAACACCAGTCCTCATTTAGATTACTGAAATCAGTATTCAGTCTCTTAGATAGTCCTTTACGTAGTACCTTCAAAGATCTGTGCTACCTCTTTACTCAGAACTTGCCAAGCAGGCTCCTGTATGCGTTAGTCTCAATACCTGAATTAACTCAGCTGCTTCACTCAGGTTTCATATAACTCATGCATCACACTAATATTTCACAGCCTCTCAGTAAGCCTTGGTGCAACCAAGTTTACAGATCTCACTGATCCATCAAATTATACACAGTCTGCTGTAACCATTCTGTAAATTCGAATTTCATCGCCAGTGGGATTCGAACTCTTGTTCTGCCACTTGGGGGTGCAACAACTTTACCACTTTACTAAGTCACCACATCTCTGTATCTAAATCTCTTTACAAGTCTAAAAATTAATATAAGAGTTAAGCTATAGTAACAAACAACTCAAACAAAACAATTAAAATTATAAGAGTATAATAATTGTTTAATTTATAAAGTTCAAAAATTTAATAGTTTTTTTGTATATTTTAAGTGCAAGCATTATAAACATATATTCAAAATTCATGCTATAGCTAAATGCTTATCTGGATTAAAAGATAATGTTATAAAAACTATGATTGGAATCTGGTAAAAAATAAAAAAGAATATATTTTATTTAACTTAACTTGCAAATTTCTTAAATTAATCAAATATCTTTTTTTTTTTTTTTTTTTTTTTTTTTTTTTTTTATACCTTTGCAATATCGTGGAAGGGTAAATTTTTTATTAGGTATATTTAGTAGTATATTTTTGGTTAACAAGATTATATATAGCCACATATGCAACTTTTGGTCATCTAATTTAAGTAGTCCACTTGAAGGTTTTATACTATATGACCTAATTAGGAGATTAACTATTTAACTCTCTGATATCTCTTGTCTTGCACCACCATTACAATCACACCAATTCATAACCTTATGCTACTTTTTATTAGAAGCCACCCAGATTGACATCTGCTATACTACTTGTGCTTTAATTCTATAGATAACCTAGTAAAGTTCTCATACTACTAGGTTATCTTAGGAAGGGTGTAATACATATTCTCTAATCTTTCTATGTCTCATGCACTTCCAGATTAGACTACAAATACCTTTTACAGCAGCTAAAACCACCACTAGTAGTCAGGATAAATCATTAAATTGCACAATTTTAGTATTCGGTGCCTTTACAAGGTTCGTTCTGATTTCAATACCCATATCAAGCCAATCCTTATATCGATCCTTCCCCAACTACCAAACCAGTTAGCTCAGACAAGTTATTGTACCTAGACTTTAAGTGTCTTCTAGTTTTACTTCCCTTGGTTCCTAATTTCATAGCATAGGATCTTTTCTTCTGGATGACTCCAGTGGTCAGATTGGTGGACCCTTCTTGCACTAGGGTTTTTCGTCTGGCTCTTCAGTTTTCGGTTTCTGATTTTTTCATAATATCATCAAAGATCTTTACTACCTCCTTACTTGTATCTTGCCAAATAGGTTTCAATTATTCTGGTTTCTTAGATTTAAATCGCCCAAGAGCTTTCATTTCGAAATAGTAATGCCAAGATTACAGATAATATGCCCAATCGATTGTTAAATAATTGTTACTAATACACAGGTCTATTTTTCTAAAAACGTTTCTGGTGAGATTTGAACTCTAGACCTGCCACTTGGGAGTGACAACTTAACCACTACTCTAAGTCACCACATTTCTCAAATATCTTTTTTTTCTAATTCAGCTATTATGCCCTTGTTTATTTGAGATCAAGTTATTCAAAAT